GAATTTTTTTTAAATAAATGGTTCAGTCAAGCCGTAAGCATGGTAAGGCGTATTCTAAAGTTTTTAATTTTATTCTTTTAAATTTTTATCATGAAACAACATACAAAATACAATAGAGGGAATCTGTACATGCCTTCATGAAATATATGGAGATAACGAACAGTATTCAAAAGTCCATTATACAATACAAAATAGGAGCAGAGCAAACACGGACCTCCAAACATCAGAGGTGGGATCAGGTGCCATGGAGGAGTGAGCATCCCCTGCCGACCGGTCACACCCGCCGTGTGCTCCTTGTCACGATCGGGAAATAACGGAAAAATCCGTCGACAATTCAGTGTGTAAATAATGGCCTAACAATTAGTATGAAAAATGTCAGTCAGCATTTGACTCAATGATAAATTGTATTTGCTGACAAGGTCATTGTATCGACCATAAAACTTACGAAATGATGACTTTAAACGAGACAGCTGATATTCTTGTTTCATCAACTTATTTGTCAATAATTTACCTCGTTTTAGAAATTGTACATACGTAGAGCATGCTCTTGCGTATCGAATCAACTGAGAGATATATACCCCGTATGCAGGTGATGAAGGTATATTGCTGCATAAGTAAGGGAAGTTGACGATTGAAAAGTTAAAGTCATCACGTTTATCATAAAGCTTGGTTGTTAGATTACCATTAACGTCTTCATATAAAGCTTTAACACTTATAGAATGACCATTTGATTCTGAAAGGGGGTGGCAAATTTCTTTCCGAGTCTGATTATTTATTTTCATTCCAATAATAAAGGGATATATTATTTATTTCCAAGTAAAACGATGACAAATTATTTTTCTTCCTCACCGAAAAAAAATTACAAGCAAAAACACAGTTACACATACAATAGAATAGGGCAGTCTTAACAAACAGTTGTTAAAACTCTGTATAAAAGTGTAACAGTTTTACTTAATTTTATTTAACAAGCAATTACTTAAGAATTCCTTCAGCTTATTTTTCGTGTTCTTAACAAACAGTTGTTAAGAAATGCCAGATATATAATGGTTTCTTTAACAAGCATTTGGTAAGAATTGGAAAATAAAGTGTTTAAAGTATGCATAGATTTCAGTTGTCTTTTTTGTACTTAACAACCATACAGAGCTTTTGATCAAATGGAATTGATCAAATTAAAATGGAAGGTGTTCTGTCCAAATGCCAAAACTATTTCGTTAATGTGTGCCGGGGGTGGGTGGGTGGGGGGGGGGGGGGGTGGATACAGCAGGCAGGAGAGGTTATATTTATTTATTTTCTAGTAAGCTGAGGACAAATTATTTATTTTCAACATTTCCGAGGGCAGATTATTTGTTTCAAAATCTGGCAGCACCTCTCTCCTTAATGAAATGGTAGTGCCCTTATCCTGCTCCGTGGACAGAGTGTTTCCTTGTGTTATACATTTGATCCGATAGTACAACAATGAAAATATGGAAAGAAAAGAAATCAAATTATTATTTTTTTTTTATTTCTATGAAAATGATACAATGATATTTCAATGTCATCTTGTACTTCCAGCGCTGAAAAACATGAAGATATCTCTGAAAAATTTAAATGAATGAAAAATTGTACGTGAGAATAATGTCAAGATTTTATGCTTACATTTAGATCGAGGATTCAAAAATGATTAGATTGGAATGGCACCGAAATGTTTATAAATTGGAAGTGTCTATCGGCACGACGGTCGTGCGGATTACAGTTCTTATCCGCACGACACAAGAGAGATAACTCTAACATTATACATATCAACGCTGTTGGCGGAAACATGTACAAATACATAGAATAAATTATAATATTCATTTATGCCAAGTTTGCTAACGTTGAATTTTCATTTCCTTTGTGGTGTATCAGTATAATGAAAATTATTTTATTGTTCGTCCTCTATATTATCTCTTGGGCATTTCTAACGTTATTTTGATTGGAGCAATTAAAAAAGTAATTTAAATATATTTCCTCTCAATAATATTCTTTCCTTTCATGAACTTTATACTCTCTCTCCATAATCTCTCTTTCTCTCTCCCTCTTTCTGACCCTCCTTTTCCTTCCGAATACTTCACATAGAAATTATAATAAGATCAAAATATTCTGTCTATTTTCCGTATTCATTTTATCATAGTTATTAATAATAAGATATTTTCTAATATCTTATTCAAAGATTTTTTTTAAGTAAATATATGCATTATTACATACTTTGATAGTGAACGTGTATAAAGTTTCCTCCGAACGTTTTCTTATAAAAATGTTGATCAAACTTGTTTCGAGTTTTTCAAATATACATTAACATTTAACATCGTTTAACAATTTTTTAAGATATGATACGATATAACCATTAATGTCCATTAATGAAAAGGTAATTTCAGTGAATTTAATTAAGAAATAAATAACAAGTTTAAAAACTTCTCTGGGAAATGAAGTGGGTCGGTCACGTGATCAAATCCTGTGAATGCCGAAAGCCTTCTCAGAAGATTTGATCACGTACCGACCCACTTCATTTCCCAGTGAAGTTTTTAAACTTGTTATTTATTAATTATACATACATTTGAGACGGACAATCGAATATAAATATTGCACTAACCGTTCGTCGTAGATTTTGACAAATTACGCAAGGTGTAAATCGGCTTGAAAAGCGGTTACGCTTGAAATTCACTTGTCAAAGGGTTCTGTTTTGAAAGGAATATTCTGTGAAAGGCTACTTGTGATCAATTTAAGTGAGCATATTGGCGTCTGGGAATTTTTGTATTCATGAAAACCCATATTCGATGTTTAAAAAACACAAGAAACACCAAAAAGTGCCCCCCCCCCATTCTACAGGCCTTTCATTGAGTTTCTACGTACAATAGCACAACAGCATGTAAACATTTGATATATGATAAAATATATAATATAATATAATATAATATATATAATATAAATTTATAAACATGTAACGTTAATTAATGTAAATTTAATATAAATTTATTTCAAAGTTTGTCGTGCGAATAACATCCGTAACGACCGTCGTGCGGATAACATCGATAATTAGCACGACCGTCGTGCGTATAGCCTCGGCCTGAAAATTAAGATATGGCTTGTTTAGTTGTTACTGTTTTATAGTAAGTACACATAAGAAACGGTTACCCAATCTGAACTGACCCATCAGATTACGTTTAAGGTAAAGTTGAATTCTACAGGAAATTTAGTTTGTGGCAAGAAACAAATATATTCTCGGAATTTACTGTCGGAAATGTGTTAACGTTAGACTCTAACAGGGCCTGTGGTTAGAAATATATACCTAGCGTACAGCTATGATGATAAACCATACGAAACGTATACACTCTTAATCAAGTTAATGGGACAATTAAGTAGGTAAAGAATGTGACGTAAGCGACTTGTGTTTATAATAAAAATTTTCACACCTTCGTCTTAAGATTAACGACTATTGCCACAACACACGCTTGGGTGAAAGGGATTCAGCTGACTGAGATAATAAACAAATGCATAGTAAATATTAAACGGCATCTTTCGAAAATATTTTTCTCGAGAATCAAAGTTGAAACATGTGAAAGCTTCGCAATCAGGTCAAGGCGGCCTTTATTTTTGAAGGAGATTATAAGGAAGCGGTCTTGCCACCTACCGGTCTTTTCAAAACAAAGGGCATTTAACTCTTAACCAAACAAAGAACAGAAACTCTTTCATTCAATTTTTTATGTATCTCAACTCTTGCATAAAGAGCTAAATCTACGAAGGGGCTAAATCTGCCTATTTTTTCAAGAAAATTAAACTGTTTGGAAGAAGAAAATTAACAATAGAAATATTATCCCTGGGTATCAAACTTAAATAGTTTATGCAATTTTTTTTTATTTGATGACGTCATATTTGTACAGAAAACGTCTAAACACGTGCACTTCGCTAGTTTTTATCAAAATAAAGCATTTTTTCGTCTTTGGTTCAAATTTTTGCTGTGGCCATACCCTTCGAACAAAATAAAATTTATACCATTGAAAAGAGGATTAAAATATGAATAAATAAAGTATATTTCTATTTTGTTCGAGAGGTGTGGCCACATTCCAGTTTAATGCAAAACATAACAGAGGTTGCTTTGTGAGGAATCAGCTTCCCTGATGACAGAGAAGGGACGAAAGACCTTCTTGTTGCCATGGCAACAAGGTTTCTAGTTTTACATTGTTATTATGAGAACATTGTCTAGGAACATACACCATCATCACTAGAAATTTGGGCATCATCCTGTGAAAAAACTCCTATATACATGTCTTCATTAAGATTAGGGTGAAAGTTTTCTGCCAACTTGCTACCAATACACAGGAATGTTCCCTTTATAACTTCTGAAATGTTTGCTGTAAGTTATGCAGAATTTCCATATTTGGAGAATCCAAGGTTTGTTGCAGACTTGCAGCAAACCTTAAGGGCAGAAGATACAAAAAAAAAATGGATGCCTGGATTGTTATATATATTTGGACCTATTTTGGTTGTAAACGATGCAAATATCAAATTTCTAAAATATTAAGAAATTGTAAACTTTTTATGATGCTCAAAATTCTACCTTTATGCAATCTTCCTTGAAAATCTGTACAACATTTTGTTACTTTACTGGACATCATTGTGATACTTCGATTAAAAAAAATAAATCTATGCTAATACTAATTCATTTTACTTAATATATAAACATGACTAAAGTTGTTCTTTTCATGGTTTTTGAAAAAAATTGTATCATCTGTTCTTTATTGCATAATAGATGTTTGCACTAAGCCTGCTATGTGCCACATACTTGCTACAAACATTAAGGCTTTGTAATGGCTACATGTAGTTTTGGTTGATTGCAGTTATTCTGCAGCAGATGTTTGCAAGATGTTTCGTAAGGATTTTCAGTAATGTTTAAAAGTTTACAGATGTTGCAAAAGAGATGATCTTGAACAAATACTGATAACAATTAGTCATCTGAGTGACTCTGGGACTTTAAAGTAACTTACTGGGAGGCTATGCATGTGCATCTGTCTCTCTCTCCAAATGAAGATCCCAACTACAAAAGCTCCAATTACTACCACCACACTCAAGGATATTCCAACAATGCCTCTGTAAAGAAAGCAAAGAAAATCCTTAAGTGAAACAAGAGGCCGAAGGGCCTTAACAGTCACCTGAGTATAATACAATTCTATAAAGGATCCATGGGATGGCAGTTTTTATCATTATATTATACAGCAAAATAAATTGATAGATGATTTGTTGATAAAAAATAAAAAGATGAACGGGACATTTAGAAATTAACACATGAGTTAGTTTGGTAATCAGCAGCAACCCAGAAAGTAGATCTATTTTAATTTACTTGCCTGTATGTGTCAGTGCTAATTACACCCTATCACAACTAGAAAACTGACCAGTCAGCAAGGGCCCCGCTGAGGGGTATAAATGTAAGGGTACAGCTTACAGAATGAGAATTTTACTTGATTACAAAAATTTCAAAATATATGAAGAAGAATAAGCATCAGCAACTGTATAAAATTTCAAGATAATTCCTAAATATCCAACAACCTGTAAATAGTATCCGTGTATTTACATAAGACAGTAAAAAACATTTTATCTATAATAACTCAATTAAATGTATATTTAAGCAAGAAGAATGAAGCATGTGTTTTATAAAATGCCAGCCTTCAACAGAATGAAAATATCACCCAGGCTTGACCTTAACTTCAAAACAAACATCAGTTGGAGACAAAGGTGTTAGTTAATCTTAAAATGTCAGATAAAGACAAGCCTCTAAAATTTTCTGCAGCTGGCAAGATAATTAATCCCAGGGGATTAACTGTACTGATCTCTCATTCTTTTCTTCTAAGTTTACAATAAGAACACTTTTTCACCAGTGAGAATGAGGTTATTATCCGACTATCTGTTAATAGTATTCTTGAATTTACATAAGGCAGCCAAAACAAAAAATAGTAATAATATAAAAGATATCTTTATCTATACCTTGTTTTTAGAATTCAATAAAATCATAACTCATTGTGTATTTTACAAAATAAAGTATAAACATTATTTAAATCCACATTTCAGAGAATGTAAACATCATTCAGAAATGACTAAAACTTCAAAACAAACTTCATTTGCAGACAGCGGTGTTAATTAATCTCAGTGTGAAAGATTAAAGATAATGCTTTGGATTTTCTTCAAGAGGAAAGTTAATTAACCCCACGGGACTCATTGCAGCTTTCAGAATTTACAATAGGATCTTTCTAAGCAGTTATCTCTCTTTGCCCATTCATTCTTATATAAAGTTAAGGAATCTACCCCACCACCCCAACTATAAACAGGATGACATAGAGAACCAAACTTAGCATCAAAATATGTCTTACTGCCTATTCAACCAACATACCAAATTTGAACTTAATTGGTTAACTATAAAAAAGTTATTAGAAAAAAAAAAACAGAAAATTTGTGGACGGAAGAATGACAGACGGACAGGCAGACAGAGTGATTACTATAGGGCACCCGCAAATTCTTGCAGGGCCCTAATTACCAAAGTTAACATTAACATTAGTATTTGCGTAGTGAAAACCAGCACATTCCCCACACCACTGGCATCTCATCTCTTGATCTTTGAATGATATTTAATGTACAATTATAAGGTATTTTTGTCTCATTTTCATTCACTTTTTTTACTTACAAGTCTACCTGATCATTGAAAATTATAGAATTACTTATGAATATCAAAGGGGAATAACTTTTCTTAAGCTTAAATCTGAGAAAAAAATTTCCATACATGAACATAATACGGTCATATCCTAGCTCCAGGAACCTGATCTTGGGGCCATGAATTTCAAAATTTTGGAAGAGGCACCCTTGCTCATCAGAACTATGCATTTAGTTTGTTTGCTTAATACCAAGGAGCAGAGAAGATTTAAAAAAAAAAAAACTGCATTTACACCATGTAATTAATGAAGCCCCATCCTAACACCAGAACGAGACCCAGGGACCATGAAATTCATAATTTTGGAAGAGACACCATTGCTCATCATAACCATGCATTTAGTTTGTTTGCTAAATGCCCAGGAGCAGAGCAGATAATTTTCAAAGAATTCATGCATATGATCTGTAGAGCCCGGCCCGAGCACTAGAACCCCTGACCCCGAGGCCATGAATTTTACAATTTTTGAATGTTTATTACAATCACGCCAAATTTTTGATTGCTTGATATCCAGGAGTAAATAAAGAAGAAAATTTTTAAAGATTGCTTTAATTTTGATAGTTTTTGTCCCACCCCTCAGGCCCCGGGGGGATGAAAATCACAATTTTTTTCCTCTTTGCCCATAGATAGTATATACCAAAATTGGTTGAAATAAGTTCAGAGTTCTAGAGAAAAAGATGAAAAAGTTCAAAGGTTGACGCACAACAAATGACAAACAATGAACAACGACAGACAAAAACATATAGCAATAGGTCACCTGAGTGACTCAGGTGACCTAAAAATCAGGTAGTTGAGCCTTACATGGACTGTTTGAAACAATGAAAAGGCTATACAAGTGAGCTGAAATCAGATTAGCTCAAGTTTAAAATGGTTGTACTTCTGTTCTTCAAAAACTTTAAATGAAGTTATAAGTTACTGTATCGTGGTCATTAATTGATTGTTTATTGTTTAATGCTGAGTCAGCAGAATTTCAGTAATATGTCATCGGTTGTATCATGTTCATCCTTCGGAGCGGGGGTATAAAAGCAAACGACACACTCTAGCGCAAGCGACAGGAACACCAACATAAAGTTGACGAGCTCCCAAACCAAAATCGCACAATCAGTTTCTGTCATTTTTTTGGTGAATGTAGCGGATTATGATAGCCTACTGTATTAAGAGCAGTTTAGTGGTAGTGAGGATAAGACGTTCTGTAGTGGAAAAATTCACAACAAACTGCACAGCAACCTGTTGTTGCCTTTGTCCTTACTTAGGCAATGCAATAGCCAGACCCCATGGAACTTCCGTCAACCATACCAAGATTGCAAGAAATTCATATCTTCTGTTAATATTGAAAAACGATGTGTATACCCCAAGTACATCAAGTGTAGCTGCAGAACTGTAGCTCTCTGCTTGAGAAAATTCGGACAGACAAAGCAGAGAGCTACAGATCCAAGCGTTGTAAAAACCTTCGATTTACGCCGCCGCTTTTTTGTCGCTCGCTTCGGGTATTATTTCTTGTATTTAATGCTTTCCCCTGCTTTAAAAGTGGTATCCAATAATTATCCATATATTTTACTCCTATTCCTGACACTTTATTTACCTTTCAACAGTTCTAGACGGTCGTAATATCAGTTTAAAAAATGCATTCCGACGTCGACGTTGGTGTCATCCTGAAACAACAAGCCCGAGTTTTACTTATCTCATTTCTTTTTTACATACATGCTGTATTCTAATCTGTATAGACAATATACATGATATTTAAACCTCCTGACATTTTTATTTACATTTTCTTGACAAGTATATGTTCTTTGAATTACTTCTTTTCGCACAACCCTCAATAACATGGACGTCGGAATGGGAATTTTTTAAACCGACATTTTAAAACCATAAAGGGCTGTTTGAGACCGTTGAAAGGTAAATAAAGTGTCAGGAATAGGAGTAAAATATATGGATACCACTTTTAAAGCAGGGGAAAGCATTAAATACAAGAAATAATACCGGAAGCGAGCGACTAAAAAGCGGCGGCGTAAATCGAAGGTTTTTACAACGCTTGGATCTGTAGCTCTCTGCTTTGTCTGTCCGAATTTTCTCAAGAAGAGAGCTACAGTTCTGCAGCTATTTCAAGTGGTACTACAAGATGTGTTGACAAACTTATCGTCAACAATATGCACGTGATTTCGGCTTTTTACCACTTTCCCTACGTGACGTCATATTCACAGTTAATTCTGAACACTGATTTAAGTGCACAGTAACCAAGATATCCCTCTGACCAGTTTTCGTAATTTTCAGCTGTGCAGTCAAAAATTTCCGCATATTAGGTTACCCTGTGTTTTTTTTTTCCTTTCAGTATATAATCTTAGATAAATTCAATAGTATCCTTTGGGATCTGGTTTCATATGTTTTGTTTAACACAAGAAGCTTTTACAGATTGGTTGTGACTGTGAATAGTGGGGCTGTCATGGGAACATTGGAAAGGGTTCCCATGATTATAATTTTCACTAATTATTCTGACAAAATGTTTGCACTAAATATACTAAAGGGATATCTCTATTGTTTGATAACCACACAGTAGTATACAGTCTATATCACAATTTTCTTTTTTTAGGCCTTTCTGATATTTAGGCCTTTCCAATATTTAGGACAAGCATGACTTGTATTGATTTTATATTACCCAGCTGACAGTTCTTGTCTGTTCTTTGTTGCTGGTGTCACTGTGGTCTCTGTGGGATAATTCTGTGTACTGTTGTAACATTCTGGAACTAGATCACAAAGACAAATGAACAGTTTACAATGTATCTACTATTAATCATTTGTTGAATAAAATATTCAAAACATTTTAGTTACCTTTAAGGCCTAATTACTTTTAGTCTACAATATACTTTATATTCATTTCGTATTAAAGTAATCACTTACAGTATTTGTTTATTTAAAGAAACTGAAAACTTAACAAAGATTCTCAAAGGTTCTTAATGGTACTTCTGAAAGATAGACTCTAATTGGACAAACCAGTACATAAAAAGGATTTTCCAATCAGAACTTATCTTATATAGTAAAGCATGGCTTCAGTTAGCTGACTGAAAATAAACATTGACAATTCTGGTTGCCCTTTCCATCGTCTTTCAGTCGCCTTTCAGTTATTTTTCAGTAGTCATTCAAGAACTGTTCTTTGGCTTTTCATTGGTATATATTAAGTAACCTCTTGTGGAAGTAATTTTGTTTCCCTGATTGTTGAAAACAAATGATATTTCAGATAAAAAAAATCATTTTAAAATTATTTAACATAATTTTTTAGAAGTAGGATTTACAACATTGTCTAAGGTGAAGACTTATCCCGAATCATTTCAGTCTTTAAAAAAAAGCAAGTGCCTGTCGCCGATAATAGTCATTATCCCGATAAGGGGCGTGTAATAATTAGTCTGCCCCCAAATTCTACGCAATTAACATTTTGCAAATTAAGATAAGATATATATAAGATAAATAATATATATCGCTAAGCTACTTGATAACAGGCAACCTAAGTGTCACAATTTGATTTCTACATATTAATATAAATCGGCAAAAATATGCATGAGTCGCCGTGGTATAGTTGATAAAGTTACTGCATATCAAAAAGATTTTAAAAAGGGTTATAGCCTATCAAGCTGGAGGAACCGGGATCGACCCCAGGAGTTGTCGCATTTTTTTAGACTCGCTTTTATTCAATCTTTTTAAATAGAAAATAGATCAATTTGATGCCATTATAATAGAAACAACTAAAATAAGATTGCTAAGTTAAAAAATCAGCAGATTTTCTTATGAAAAGATATAATTGAAAGGCCACTGAAAAGTACCTGCTATTCAGTCGTTGAATGCAACTGAAAGATCACAGAAAAGTCATTGACAAGGATCCTTTCAGTGATTTTTCAGTGACCTTTCAATGGGCATTCAGTTACCATTCCATTGACTGAATGGCATTATTTCATCCTGTGGTTCTTAAGAAGATTTTTAAAAGAAATTTCCTATGTATTCCGATGTAAAACTTTGATCCCCCATAGTGGCCCCAGCCTACCCCAGGGATCATGTTTTGAACAAACCTGAATCTACACTTCCTGAGGATGCTTCCACAAAAATGTGACTAATCATGGCTTTGTTGTTCTTGAGATTTTTCCTATATATTCCTATTTAAAACTTTGATCACCCATCAGTGCCCCACCCTTTCCTGTGAGTCATGATTTGAACAAAATTTAATCTACACTACCTGAGGATGCTTACATATAAATATGACTTATCATGACTTTGCTTTTCTTGAGAAGAATTTTAAAGATATTTCCTATGCATTATTCCTATGTAAAACTTTGATCCCCCAAAGTGGCCCCACCCTTCCCCCAGGGGTCATGATTGGAACAAACTTGAATCTACATTACCTGAGGATGCTTACATACAAATATGACCAATTAATACGATTGCAGGGGCATAAATATAGTGTATATATTTTGAATAACTTACTTCGTTCTTTCAATAATTGGGAAAGTGGATAAAATGAGGGACATGTTGAACAATATCTATATCCTCCCTGAACCACGTATGACCCATTAGGTGCTTTGTTCCACTCAGGGCACACATTACCTAAAACAAGGTAAAAAAATTTCCATTATTATATATATTATAAATTATACTGTACTTTAATCATTTATTATAATAGTATTTGTATATTATTACTAAGTACTATGTAATAAATATTAAATTACATACCTTTTTTCCATATCACACCATGTGTCAGCCCTTGACTAATATTAACCCACAGACTGATATTGGTGTCTTGGGCTGACAGGCCTAGGGTGTGACATGGAAAAGGTTACGTATAATTCTCTATGTATCATCCGATATGACCATTCTACAATTTCAATTACCCATATTATAAGGAATTCTAAATTTGAAAATGTATAATTAAATTCTGGCTGGCAAAAGGTTAAACTTTGCTGACAATATGAATCAGTACCTTTACTTATGAGAAATCTAACTACCATAACACCCATTGTATTTATAAAAAAATTTTAAGGAGCCTAGGAAACTTTTAAATAAATTATTAAAATTAAATTAACTCTAGGATGATCTTAAGTACCGAACAACAAACACAAAATGTCTAGTGCACAGCTAGAAGTCAAATCTATCACATCTAAAAGTTTCACACTTCTAGCTCACTTCTGAGATCTCTTGATAAAATGCACAAGAATAATTAGTTAGCCAGTACACTAATGCAATTATTACTTTTACAGAGTATTCAAAATCAAACGAATACCCAAGGCATGCAATCATTCACACATTCAAGTAAAATCAAATTTTGCCACTGATTATGAAGTAGAACATTATACTATGGACAGTGCACAAGACATTAAAATATGAACCTAGCTAAAATAACTACACATCAGGGTTTTTTTCCTTATATAAGTGGTACCGATAAATGGTACCATTCCCAATGCCAAAATTTTTCCCAATACTGAGACTAAAAATTCCCAATTCAACTGTGAAAGAACAAAGTGTGATGCCATTGTAGAAACTCTTTACAACATGTACAAGTTGACTTAATTTCTTACTTCCTCTTAAATCGAAAGTAGACATCCCTTCGTAAAATTGCAAGACACATGTTGTAAACAGCCTAGTCCCTGAAATGTTTGACAACTTGAAAGCATGAAAGCGTAAGAACAAGGGGCATTAATATGCAAAGCAATGATTGCTTGTTGTTTATTCTTTAAAACGTTGCAATAAACAAATGTACTTTTTTGTCGTGACAGAAAATTCCCCTTTGTTCTATCAGTGTCTATTTCGACACTATTTTCCCAATTGAATCGGTACCGAACCCATTCCCAATCGGTAGAAAATAATCTCTGACACATACGCATTTTTAATTTTTTTATTTTCTAGCTGGCCACGTTGTAGCTTAGGGAATGACTTGAAAATATCTAAGCCTACATTGGGATACTACAAGTACATACCATATTAATTTTTCTTATCACTGCTTTACTGTTCTGGAGAATCTTTTAAAAGAATGTCAAAATCTGATGCCGAGAAAAAGTTATGACCTACTTCTAGACCTGGGGTTAAACAATTAATTGAAACAAGAGGCCCAATTAAGGGCCTTAACGGTCATTTGAGTATATGTATAATACAACCCTGTAAACATGGTAAAAGATCCATGAAATGGCAATTTAATAATTATATAATTATAACACAAAATCTTGCTGAAAAACAAGATAAAGAAAACACTCAAAGATCAACAAAATAGCTAGTCTGGTTATAATCAGCAAGAACCCAGAAAGTAGATCTATTCGCCTGCACACTGTATGTGTCGGTGTTAACTATACTCCATCACTATCAACAAACTCAGCAACATAAAAGTACTTTAGCGTAATAAAACAGTAATTTCATTGTAAACAGAGCACACTCTCCATCCCTTTGGCCTCTCTTCATTCTTTGATAAAATCTAATAACTGTATAACATAAAATCATAATATGTTTTTAATGTGTTTTACTGTATTTTTGAAGATTTTTTATTTTATACTTTTACATGTGTCTTAAGCTTGGATCCCCCTATCTAGGTACTATCCTAGCTCAGGGGAAATACTTTCAGTAATGTAAATGAACACTACAATCATGTATTTGTAGATCGTTGCTTTGCATCTGAGTAACTGTTGTTCTTCTCCATTTGAAAAGACATTTTAAGAATTTTTCAAAGTGAACATACTTCATTGAAAAAGTATTACCAAGTTGCAGTACAAGTATGAATGTAATTGTCTTACAATAATTGGCTGTGTCAGATTTTAACATGCAGTCCTACATGTACATACCATTTAAGCATATGTCTGGTGCGCAACCCCAAGCCAAAGTATTATCAGGGACACTGTACAGGCACGCAAGCAATAAATCATCTTTACAGCTGACTAGGATCTCCTGATGTGAGTAGCATGTGGCAATGGGATCAAGTCTTGTTATATTATCCACTACCCGTGCTTCTGACAAGCATCCCTGCAAATATACATGTATACAGAAAAGCATGTCATTGAGAGACGATGGACCACAACACTCACTTCCCCAACTTCGTATGAATTTTTTGCATAAATATTTATTCCCTTATCTTGGGCTATCTATATACATCAAAGCAACAACGGAATGTTCATGCATCTATATAATACAAATATAATTATAATACAATTTTAAAAAGCTGGTACGAATTATTAAAAAATTCTATTACAGTATGTCTTTAAACATTTTGTGTCCTCAATTAAGTTAAATTTGCAAATCAATGCTAAATGAACGCTTAGCCATCAAATGAATGACAACCACATCATAGCATGAACAACAGTGAGTGAATACATGGAAAGTGAATATTCAGTGAATACATGGAAAGTGAATGTTCAGTGAATACATGGAAAGTGAATGTTGAACAAACAATTATCAAATTACCAGTTCATCTTGCATTTTGACTTACAAATATAAGAAAATTTATAACACTTAATTTTATCTGAATCACATGAATTATAAATTAAATGTGCAAAATGTTATTCAATTAATGCATCCAAGGACGAACAATGTTTTCCTCATCTGACTCTTTTAATATATTCATTTTTAAATTAACTAATGAATTAACTTACACGTACATATAAATTATGTAATCAAATTTTATTTAGAGGTTTACTATGGATTTACAAATATAACACTAAAAATGTACCCCCCAAAAACCTTTTGAAAGCAAAGAACCTTTATTTTCAGTTGTGAACTCATTATCATAATGTATTTCATTTTGTTAATTGCTAAGATTTACTTATGATCAATGAAGGTACATCTTGTAAGAAAGCGAGATTTATGTCAAATGAAAGACTTTTTTCAACAGTTTATTTAAGCATTTTATAGTATTTTGCAACTTTACTTCATAATCTATTGTTCTATTTGCCAAAGCGTGTGCACACAAAATTTATAACTAGTACAAGCACATAATATCAAGAGGTACAAGGACATTAAAATTCACCTTGTAAAGGATCTAATGTGATAATTACATGCATACAATAAAGCAAAATACACTGATAGAGGGAAAAAATTGCTCACTAGCAAGAGAAATACAGTGATCAAAGGTCAACAAAATAGTCTGTCAGTTAGATGCATCAACTTTGAAAGTTGATGATAATTGCCAGCTTGGTTAATTTCACCCCCACTTGTCATTATCCATATACGTAATATAAGTGTTTACTGAAACTAGTATTATAAGATGAAATATATGGAGATAACGTGCAGTATTCAAGCTTTAAAGTCCATTCATACAATATCAATCAGGAGCAAGAAAAACGGACCTCTAAAACATCAGAGGTGGGATCAGGTGCTCATAATGTACGTTGTGTAGGAGTAAGCATCCCCTGTCGACCGGTAACACCCGCCGTTTGCTCCTTGTCATGATCGAAAAAAAAAGGGAAATCATTTCAGACATTTCAATGTGTAAATAATGGCTTAACAATAAGTATGAAAAACGTCCACCAGTATTTGACTTAATGACAGATTGTATTTGCTGACAAGGTCATTGACTAAACCCCAAATATACCCTCAAAGCATCCACTCCTACTCTTTAGATAATTTTTTTGTCTTGAATTTAATTATTATCTACAAGACTTCAGGGACATTAAACATAAAATCTATTAAAAAATATAAAAGTACTTTTAGTAGAACAAATTGAAAGTTCTTGTATAATTTTCATACCTATAACATCTATCAATTACATTATTTCCTCTGATTAAATATCAAATGTGAATAACCAAATGGGAATAAATTCTCCCAAAGACAAGTTAAAATTTTCCTACATGATCAATACGTTACTGTCCTAGCAAGAGATCCTCTAACCCAGGTGGTCATGATTTCCATAAATCTGGTAAAAAAAAATCCTCGTTCATTATAGCTATGTACAGGGTGTTTCATAATATATGTTACATTTTTAAATGTAATTATTTTTCTTACCTATCAGAATTTTATTACAAACTATATATCATTTAAAACATCAAATCCTGCATTTTCATTCCATATGAAAAAGTCAAGGAAATCATGGTATCACAATGATTAATTGTGACATAAACACCGATGTCATAATTTCAATATTTATCGAAATGGACTTAACTTACCAACATATTGCTGAATTGTAAAGCTGTTTTTTCAATACATGTCGCCAATATTCATTCAGAAGTTGATAAAGGAAATATTCAAAAGAATGGAAGCTTTTTAAAATGCTTATCAGAAGGCTATTAACAAGGTTAAAGGACAGGGACGAGCAATATGCGATAAATGACACGGTGCTCTAGAAAGCCTAAGGACTTCAATAATCGAAGATTTAATTGGTGGAGTGTAGATTCTTAGATAGTTTAACAAACTCCTGAGAAAAGTGTCAGATAGATGTTTTCAGAAATTGATGCTGGCAATATCAGCATTTCCAGCATATATTGAACTTTGAAATATGATATGAAGTTATCAGCGTACAAATTTTCAATTATGCAATACCCCAAGAAAAGAGTTTGATCTCTGCATTCGCCAATCTCAATCTTTGGGCCTTTTTCTGTGGGGGTTCTTTAGGAACAGGGTCTACAATCCTAGACCACAGATACTGCATGAGCTCAAAAGAAACATAAACCTTCAAATGAGGAGTGTATAAGCAAAAATGTGTTACAAGGTTATACAAATTTCGAGAAGCAACTTTCATTTTTAGTTGAAATAGTGGAGATCATCAAGAACATATAATACATGTATGGGCTTTTGACATTGTGAAATTCAACGTAACAAAAATGACGTAATTTAGAAATTTCACTAATTTTCATTAATGTTTGAGATTTCGTCCAATGTGTAATATTTTAGTTGGTAATTGTACATAATGAATCTTATAGATACATGCATCAAGTTGATAAAACACTTGTCTATATCTTTTTTCTTGAGTTTGTGAAATTGAAGATTCAAAATGTAACATATATTATGAAACACCCTGTACTTGATTTCTCTCCTAGACGTTCAGAAGTAAAGAAGAAAACTCTATGATCAATAGGGCACCACTCTTAACACCAGAATTCATGAGTTCACAATTTATAGATGCATCTTTTCTTATCATAACCATACACTTTTTTTTTCTGAATAATACCCAGGGACAGCTAGAGAAGAAGATCTTCGAAGAATTTGTGCATTTTCACTATTTGAGCAAAAGTGCCTTTACCGTACACCAGAAAACCTGATCCTGTTCATCAAAACCATGCACTTAGTTTGTCTGTTTAAAACCCCTGAAAAAAGATTTTCATGCATTAAATGCATATCATCAATAGAGCCTCACTCTAACACCAGAATCCTTAACCCAGGGTGAAATAAATTTTACAATTTTGGAAGAGACCCCCTTGCTCATCATAACCATGCACTTACATTGCTGAATACTACATTGCTGAATACTCGGAGGCAGAGAGGAAAAGTTTTTTTTAAAGAATTGATGACTTTGCTCTGTATATTCAATAGAACCCCACCCTAAAACATGAACTCCTGAGCAAGAGGCCATGAAATTCACAATTTTTGAAGATATATCCCTTATCGTCATAAACATGCAATTAGTTTGTTTGCTTAATACACAGGATCAGATAAGGAAATTTGTAAACAAATAATGCATTTTCATTAATTAGTCAATAGAGCCCCATTCTAACTCCATAATCCCTGACACAGAGGCCATGAATATTACAATTTTGGCACATGCAACCTTGTTCATCATAAGTTAATTTTCTAAATATGCAGGGGGAAAAGAAGCTTTTTAAAGACTTTATGTATTTGATTATATGATCTATAAAGCTCCATCCTAACTTCAAAACCTCTGATCCTGGGCCTATAAATTTCACAATTTTATAAAGTATTCATTTAATATATTATAATCATGTCAGCAGTTTGACTGCTTGATGTCCAGGAGTAAAGAAGATGTTTGAAAATTGCATGAATTTTAATGGTTTCGGTCTACACCTTAGGCCCAAATGGGCCATGGACCATTAAATTCTCAATTTTTGCCCCCCCCCCCCTTTTGCCCATAGATGTTCTGCACAAAAGTTAATGAAATTGGTTCTGAAGTCACTCATGTGACCTTAAAACTTTCGTCCAACAATGTGGTAATGTATGCAATTGCATGTATCAATATAATTATTTTTTCTCAGGCACCAGTATTTGAACAAACATATTTTGATTTTTAAAGAATTTATGCATTTTACCATGTGGTCAATAGAGCCCAACCTTAGCAAAAGAACCCCTAACCCTTGGCCACAAATTTCACAGCTTTGGTAAAGGACTTAATATTTATTGTAATCATGCCATCAGTTTCACTGCTTCCTATGAGTATTAAAGAAGATAGATTTCTCTAAGATTACAGTAGTTTTGATGATTTGGCCGCACCTCTCGTGACATTTACAATTTATATTCTTCACACGTAAATGTCATTTAGCAAAATTGTTTCAGATTGTTTTAGCTATTCCAGAGAAGAAGCTGAAAATGTTCAAATGTTAACGGACAACTGACAACGGATGTCGAACAATGACAAATAAAAATATATAGCAATAGGTCACCTGAATCTCTCAGATTGCCTAAAATTTTACAGAAAGAGCTTCAATACTGGGAAATTCGAAATTTATTTTTTAAATATAAGTTCTGTTCTTGCTATATGTTAGCAAAATTGTTTCAGATTGTTTTAGCTATTCCAGAGAAGAAGCTGAAAATGTTCAAATGTTAACGGACAACTGACAACGGATGTCGAACAATGACAAATAAAAATATATAGCAATAGGTCACCTGAATCTCTCAGATTGCCTAAAATTTTACAGAAAGAGCTTCAATACTGGGAAATTCGAAATTTATTTTTTAAATATAAGTTCTGTTCTTGCTATATGTCCATAATGTATATATATTCATTACTTTAAAAAAATGAATTACCTGGACCTAATGATCTAATGAATAATCTGTGTCAAAAATCTGATAATGACCTGGTATCAGGTTTTTTTTTTATAGTCAGTGCTTCCTTTCAAGTTATATATTTTGCAATCTTAGCATGCTGAAATAAAATGTATACTGATGGGCTCAAGACCTTTGAATAAAGAATTATGCAAAATATATACAAGCATATCTAAATAGACACTGATGTTATATTACCTAAAATTAAAAATTTTCCACAGATATTACCAAGATGTGACTCTTTTTCTCCTATCTTGTTGCTCAGTCACGGATCCTAAATTATGGAACATCTTATGCTTAAATAGTTATATATTAGGTAAAGTATGTATAATCAATAAATGGTGTAGAAGTTACACAATCCAAAAAGAAAATTTATGTTATTCTTCATTGCATCACCAAAAAGCTAGTACTGAATTTTATTGATTTCTTTGAATACTTTAAAACTTGTTTCCTATATAAATCTTTACTGAGAAAATCAAATATTTCCAATGTTTTCTGTTTTCAAAAAATCGATGTTGGATCACTGAATGAGATAATGAACCGCTAATTGTAGGTAGGATGGGATCAGTTATTTTTTTCTTTTTCTTCTTAAACATATGCCGAATGAACTTGCTATTTTTTCCTAAACAGCCATACAATGGAAGTTTTAGTGCTATTTGCCCAGGGTGAAAATAAATATTGAAAAATTCACCGACAGCACTCCATTTCCCCGCATTTCATCTCGGAACTCTTCTGGTTTTATCTTGATTATGATGATCATGACGTGACACAAGTAATGTCTGCTTCAATACAATAAAGCACCTTTTTGCTGGCTATGAGCACAACAGCTAGTTTGTTGTCCCCCTCGAAAGTAGCTCTTTTCCTCGGCTGTGCCTCCGGAAAAAGTTGCTGTCATTGAGAACAACAGGAAGTTTATTATCCCCTTCGACATCAACTATTTTCCTCGGCTGCGCCTGGGGAAAAAGTTGTTGTCTCGGGGGACAATAAACTTGCTACTGCCCTAAAAGCCAGTGAATAGGTTATATAGATTAATTATCGCAAACACTGAAACCCGAGGAAGATGTGTTAAAATAGAAAGTAAGGTATAATAATATATTCATTGACTGTGTTCCCGGGCAAAATGCTTTTTGACGACTCCTCGAATCTAACTGTTTGCCATCAGCCTAACAGCCTCATGAAAGCAGTTTGGTTCTTAGGTCCAGCAATGCGGCCCTCGTTGTGCTCGAAGCCAGTCAATAAATGTATATTATTATACCTCTACTCTTATTACTCTATATAAAATTAATACCATAAAACTGTTTATTTCCCCGAGAAGATACTTTTCCCCCCATCTGAGGACTACTCCCTGAAAAATCAGAGCTACTCCCTGGGACTACTCCCTCATGAATATTTATTATAAATTTTAACCAATTAAAATGAACAGTGGGCGGAGCGTTCAAGGAATCTCGAGTCCGTGACGTAATGTTATTAGCAATGTAACTATGACGTCAAAACATTTCGACATGCGATGTCAAAATCATACTGGAATTTCTAAGCAAAAAGAGGACAACGATAATCCTTCGAAATGTCAGTGAAATTATTGTTTTTTTAATTAATTTTTTTTTCGGTATTGATGCATTATATATTAAACAAAATTGGATTCACATGCATTTTTGATTATTTATATAAATGCCTCTATATTGTTTTAAAAATGTCTGTCTCCTCGGAAGGAAACTATTTCCCTCGGCGGCTTCGCCGCCTCGGGAAATAGTTTCCTCCCTCGTGGAACCATAAATTTGCTATTTCCCTCATACCCATTCCATAACTGTATATTATCGACACGTATCCATATTCAAGAGTGTATCTTTACAAAATATATAATTTCAGTATGTATCAGTCAGGCAATTCATCTCTTCGTTCTGTGTAAAGTATTCATCATGTACTTCAATCTAGACAGAGTTAAACGGTTGATTTGAAGTCTTTTTGTAATGATTAAAAGACAAGAGCTATAAAATAGATATGAAATATTCAGCATTAAATGATTCACAAGACTCTTATAAAAGATTGAATACTTAACACCAATTTACCACACATCGCTTCAAAAGTTATTTTATTGCATTGGATTTTTTGGTTCAATTAAGTCCTACAAAGTGCAGTTATCTGTTAAATACATAAAAGATCATTTTACGAAAGACAGAAATTCTGACCTGAGTCTATTTAAGGAATATAATACCTTGTTTTTATTTTTATCTAAAGATTACTACTTTTTTCAAACCTACCTCTGTTTGGCTCACTATTATTCTGAAGCATATAGACAGCTGTAAAACCTTTTTCTTTGATGCAATGATTAGTATAATGGCAACTATCCAGTTGGTAACATCTACTAGTTGTGGACATTTTCTGTACTCTATTGAGAAAGATCATTTAAGAATAAATTATGAGCCAACAATGTCATTGAAAAATTATTTGCTACATTCAAAATAATCTTTCAAGCTACATAACTTTACATATGTGTAACCATCTGTTGTTCCTATATCTAACCAACTATTCGCTACTTTAAACTTTCATTTGACAATGTGATTCATTAGTTTGAAATCTATCCATAACTACTAATATTTGCTACCTAGAAATGTACATTTGAATAAATGGTTCGCAGCGAAAAAAAATTGTGAGTAAAAGTAAGTTATAAATCCCTTAATATTTTTGGTTGCAAATAAAGATTGGCTTACACTACCTGGATGACTTGTAATCTTCAACTTTTTTCCTAAATCAGATTTAGCATTATGACCACTAGACAGAGTTATCTTTCCATTTTCTTGGTCAGGTTGAGCGCTATGGCCTTTGAGAGATTTCAATTCCTTAGCTGGAAAAAATGGAGATTCGGGCAGTCTTGGTGGCTCTAGTTCTTTTGCTGTCCCTTGATCATATGATGATTCAAGACAATTGAATTGATTTCCATCTATCTCTTCTGCCCCTGCTTCTGAACCAAAGATCTCTTCTGTGGTCCCTGCATCAATACCTAAATGTAGACCATAAAATTGACTTTTATTTTAGAATCAGATAAACTATTTTTATTTTCAGAAATTAATAAAAGAAAAAGTGAGCAAGCTCACATGCCACACTCTCCCATATTGTTTGACAATGTAGCTATGCATGAAATACAACAAATATAATTAACCCCTTTCTCTCTTGCAGATGTTTGAAAAAACCAATGCCATACAGGACATAAATTAATAGTTTTGATATGCTTACCTTTACATCTTGACGTTTATTCTTCATGCTAAACTGATTCACATAAGTTGCACAAATGGCATTTTTTGGCTATAGTTCTATGTTCGAAAGGGGCATAACTCCCAGAAAAAAAATTGAATCAGAATTTTCTGTGAATACGCAAATCTACAGATTATGTACCTAGTAACTACAAAGTTACACAAAATTCTGTTGAGAAGTTTGAGAGGAATTGGGCTGACAAACTGTTTCAGTAGTATATTCAATATAGTTCACCGCCACGGCGTATGATACCCCCCCTCAAATATTGTTTAATTATCATAAACAGATAAGATTGAACGGAAGAAAATCATGTCATTTTTGGTACAGAGGTTTCGATGATATATTTCTCAGCTGGTTGTGTAAGAGTTTTACAAATGCTCATCTGCAGCTCTGTTCATTGTATTTTTTTAATGAATGGAGAACAATGCTACAGCCAAATAAAACATCAAAACACTAATCATTGTGTATTCGTAGACTGTAAAACTGTCATCTTAGTGAGACATGACACTTAGAGATATAAAAAATTGAAATAAATATGTTATATAATACAATATCAAATTAATTTTAAAAGATTGCTATAAATTATATCATAAAAAATGTGTATATCTTGATTAAATATTTTTAGTAAGGTTACTGATACTCTAATATCTGTTGGGAATGTGTACATTAAAAACATAGTTTTTATTTTTTTAGATCACTTAATTAAAAGTTAACAGTGACCTTTAAGTAGAATCTAACACACCTTTTACCTAAATGCATTAATTGACCAAGTATGATGATTCTAGGTCTAATAGTTTTCCAGTGATGAGCGGGAGAGGATTTTTTCAATTTGGCCATACATATGTATCATCTTCACTAAAGGTCAAAGCGACCGACTTTAAATGTGCGGCCGCACACCTACTACCCAAGATGTATCAGTTGACAAAGTTTGATTATTCTGGGCCTCATGGTATTTAAAGTTATGAGCCGGGAAGGAAAAAGCTTACAGACAGACAGACGGATGGACATGAACGCCATAGCATAATATTGTAGTATGGTCACATTAATAAAATTTATTAAAAATTAAATGTGTTTGTTTATGTTTGTTTAATTGGTCATATGGTTGTGTAGTATTTTGTGTTCTGTGTGGTATTTTGTCCAGTTTGGTGTGTCATGTGACTATCATCTTAATTGCTGCATGGTCAACCAGGTGATAGATTTAATTTTATGCAAAGCATGCTCTTCACTTTCCACCCAGACCTTGGTCCTGATAGTTAAATTTCTTAATTTATTCTCTTTACTTTTGACCATGACATGTAAAGTAAATATAAAGTTTATCTAAAGCTAAGTTAATTATTTTGCTTGATTAAAAGGCTTATTAGTTTTAAGCAATAATCTTAATGTTAAAACAGTTACTATATAAAGTGTGTGTGCAGCACCTAAAACCATTTTATATAATTTTGATACCAGATGCTGGTTTCCCTTAATTTACTACATCTGTATATACATGTATTAAAAGGTACATTGTCTTTGGTATGAACATGCATTTTATATTTTAGATATTATTTTTAATACTTTAAATTGGTTAGTGAAGCTATTGGTTCTAAAGAATATTTGACAAATATTTTTGATCTATCAAGCTAAAACCGAAATCTACTTTTTATTAATTCAATTTTTGCTAGTTTTATTTCTAAAGCCCTTTAGATATGTTCAGTTAAAATTAAGAGTTATTGCTCTTCATTCAGTATTATATATTTATCATGAAGGAAAGTATAATGTTGAACATTATGTTATACTATAATATTTCATGTGTTATATGATTGTTTGTGTTTATAATTACTTCCTTTGCAGATTTACATGTGTTCATAATATATTTTCAATTTTAGGGCTCAATCATCCAGATGATTACCATGTAAATAAACAATAAGGTGAACCCTCACAGTGTTATTATTATTGGCAACAATACACCCATCTTAAGACGGGTGTATAAAGCTGAGATTTAAACTGGTCCCTGATATAAGCCTTTTGCTGACATTGTTACCTCCAGGATTGAATATATAGATGGGATCAGGCTAATAACAGGAAATGGACATTATTTAGTCAGAAATATACGAACAGTACAGATGTTCTGTTAACTTAATTATTAATACTGAGACGTTAACTAGATTATGAGTCAAAATGCTGGTAAATACTTTTCAAATGCAATTAGACAAAAAGGATTCCCAAGAAAATAATACACTGTTTTACTAATATCAGTAATGCTTCCAATGTGTATATTCAATGTAATCTAAAAAAAGAATAATGTGAAATCAGAAATTTTTCGATTAGGTTTAATTTTCGTTGTTTTCCAAGAAGAGACCCACGAATTCATGTCCACCACGAAATGTAAAATGTCATATACATAACTACTCATCTATTCGCCTTCCAAGAAATTAAATCCTCACGAATCCATATTTTTCTTCGAACCGCGAAAATTTCACCCTACGAAAATATGTGATTTAACAGTAAATAAGTTTATGGTAATATATCAAACCTGCCCCCCAGGATCATGAAACAGACAGAGTTAAGTCAAAATTTTATTAATTCATAAAATGAATACTTATTGTAAACCGACACTTGAAATTTATAATTAACATTATAAAAGATAAAAAAGGTTTTCGCAACATTTCAAATTTTGCGTGTTTTCTATAATAAAGTTTTTAGACAATGTACAAAGTTTGAGGTTGGATTCCCAGCTTTTGAGCAGATTTTTATCTGGACCTCTATTTCACAAATTCTGCATAATTCTTTAGTTCTAACATTAAATTGAGTTTCAAAAATGCCAATTAAACTATATTCAATTAAAATCCCACGATTAAATTCCATACCAAAAGCATTAAGTGAAGTACTATATTTTGTGGCTGAAGTTTTTTTTTTTTTTAGAAGAAAATGATAATTTTTTTTTCTCTTTTGAGGTATTCACAGTACTGTAAAGTTTAGATTCCTATTTTTCCATACAGGGTGTACACAGAGTTATTTTGTGCAGTGAAATATTTTATGATGGTCCCAAATTATTTATTAAAGTAACTGTTATGCATTCAATCGTCATATTGTGACAAATGAATCAAATACATTGTGAAAGCTCAGGAAAAAAATAGCCCCAATTTAAGCTAAAAATTAACACTATTTTAGTAATATCTAAAACAAAAAAATTAAACCGCAGACCACCACATTAAATTTTCTTTTTTTGAATATATAGGATAATTTTAACCATTCTACTGAAACCCATTATAATTTTAATACTTTAAAATGATTTTATTGCTTGTTAATTTTTCTATGCCAGAGAAATGACATTTTCTGAGTGCAGAAAGGACAGATAAATAACTGTGTGAGGTAAAAATATTTTCACTGTTACAAATTTAAATGTGTCTATTTAAGGTCTAACGACACGTTCCTCTGATATCTAATTTGTACTTTTTCAAAAACATTGATAATTGCCATTTTCTTGTGAATTTTAACTGTTTTGAAAAGGTTTTTAAGAATAAGTACACCAAAAATTGGGATATTGGCAAACTCAGCTATTTCTTAACGAGGTTAGCTCCTGAGCTTTTGAGCAGATTTTTATCTTAACCTATTTTTCAAAAATTCTGCATAATGTTTTGATTCTAACAATAAATTTGGATTCTACAATGCCAGTTTAACTATATTCAGTTAAAACTCCATGATTAAATTCAATACGAAAAGCATTAAGTGAGGAACTATATTTTGTTGCGGAAGGTTTTTTTAGAAGGAAAAAGATCATTTTTTCTCTTTCGAAGTATTTAAAGTATGTTAAGTTTGGTTTCCTATTTTTACGTGCAGTCTGCACACATAGTTATTTTGTGCAGTGGACTGTTTTATACTGGTCCTAAATTATCTATTAGATAAACTGTCATAAAATTCTATCATCATGTTTGATAAATATAGCAAATATATTGTGAAAATGAAGAAAAAAATAGCCCTAATTTAAGCTTAAAATTAGCACTGTTTTAGTAATATCTAAAAATTAACATTACAGACCCCCACTTTTAATTTTCTTTTCTGAATATATACGATACTTTTAACTATTCTTCTTAAATTCAGTAAAATGTCATTACTTTCAAATGATTTTTTTGCTTGTTAAATTTTTAATGCCAGAAAAATGAAAATGTTTGAGTGCAAAAAGGTCTAATAATTGAACATGCGGAGTAATTTGAAAATTTCTTGGTTGTCACAGATTTTAATGTGTCTATTTAAGATAAAATAAGACTGTTTTTGTTCCCATAATTTATTTGAACAAAAAATATTGGAGTAAAAACTTTAAAATTTATTTATGTGTAAGACGTATTTACAGTGCAAAAAGGTCAAACTAAATGCTCTGTAGCGCAAAAAGAAGCGCATTGACCCCCATTTTTTGTTTTGATTTTTAATAAAGCCATGTGTATAAATTCTAAAAATATACTTGATAAAAAATTCTCATTACTTTTGATGGCAGGATCCAACCTCCTTAAAGGATTATATAAGAAACACCAACCTCTGATATCTTGCAGAAATTCCTGGTAAGGTACCTCAAATTTTTGTGAGGAAACTTGTTAGAATTGCAATACTTCAATGACATATTGTTGGGGGAAATTATGTATTTTTGAGGAATGTGTCGTCTGACATTAAAGTAAAATAAGACTGTATTTGGTCCAAAGATTTATATGGAGAGAAAATATTAGAGGAAACCTTCGATAAAATTATTTATGTGTTAGACGTAGTTACAATGCAAAAAGGTTATATAATATGCTCCTTAGAGCTAAAAGAAGCACACTGACCCCCATTTTTTGTTTTGATTTTAAGCAAGCTATGTGCGTTAGTTTAAAAAATACATTCTTGATAATTTTAAAAAAAAAACTTTTGCTAGCATGATCAAACTTCCTTAAATCCAAAACGGCTTCATGATCTTGAGATCTAAATTAAACCTCAAATAAAAAAAGATTTGATTGATTATTATTAATTTTTGCACCTTGTTTCATTGTGATATACTGTGAATGATTTTTCCCAATTTAAGGAAAAGTTCATTTATTTTTCCCAATTCAAAAGGACGGATGATAGTTTAGGGAACAAAATCACTATGGTAAAAAACATAATACCCCCCGCAAGTCCTTACCTGGGGTATGTTAATTGAAGCAAAGTTTTATATGCTTTATATAAGTAAATATTTACCTTTCTATTATAATCGGTTAAATTGCATCGGAAGTAGCAACATTTTCCAACCAATGATCGATTTTAAAATTGAGCTATGTCTCATCAGTAATGCATGTTTTAAAACATAATCAAGCTAACACTATACCCTGCGCAGCTGGAAATCAAGGTTAGATTTCAATTTTGGTACAGAGCTTATTGCTCATTATTATGCTTCCTGTTAGTTATCTCTATATTATAAAATACTCTACTATTACATGTATGCGTCCTTTTAGTTATCTCTATATCATAAAATACTCTACTATTACATGTATGCGTCCTTTTAGTTATCTCTATATTATAAAATACTCTACTATTACATGTATGCTTCCTTTTAGTTATCTCTATATTATAAAATACTTTACTATTTTCGATTAATATACAAAGGATTAATATAGCGTAAACCATGCTATAATATGCCAAAATATTGCAAAACTGTCTTTTCTGGAGAAATTGTGTTTGTACTCACTCTGGAAATCGAACTCACAATCATAAAAACGTCAGTCCATTGCATTACCGATTACGCCACAAACACCATTACATTACAACCTGTATACTTTTAAGTATATGAACGTGGTTTTATACATATGACTTGAAAGAAAAAATAAATGAATATCATCTCCAAAAACTGATATTTCTGACAACGATCTTGAAGAAAAACATTCTTATTCAAATACTAAAATTAATCAATAACAAAAATTACAATGTTGCATGAACTGGTACTTGGGAGTCAAATAAACGCTTTTTGGTATATTTTTGATTGATTTAAATTTCACGTCTGCAAACAAAACATAACTTAATTTTTTTCTATACATTCTACAGTCAGTATATTAATTATGATAGTGTTATTATTTGGATATACGATGCCAAAATAATAGGCAGGGTTTGACACATAGTGCTTTCGCCTCCGGTTGGTGCACCATGCGTCAAACCCTGACCATTATTTTGGCATAGTACATCCAAGTGATACATATTACACTATTATAAAAATATGAATATTACAAAAGTTTGATAGTTTGATGTCTAGAGGAAATTTTTCTAAAATATTTTGCATTTCCTAACAAGTTCCACCGTATGGGTTCTGAGTCTTAAGCCAAGGTTTATTAATAGAAATTTCACAGTTCTGGTAAAGGGTTAATTCTCTTACATTATATAATCATGTCAATAATTGATTGCTATGTGTTCAAGAGTAAAGGGTTTTTGTTGATCGCAACACCCTCTGAGACCCCAGGTAGATCATGAAATTCACGATTTTTGTTCTCATATATCCATGGTTTACAACAAAACTTTGTTACTTCAGCCAGAAGAAGTTGGTAATGTTCAGAAGTCTACAAACAAAGCACAACATGGACGAAAAAGTATAGCGTTGGTCAGGTGAAATATATATTAAAGACTTACATTTTTTAGAATCAACAAGTCCATAATGAGAGGGGCACCTTGGGCATTCATTAGAATTGTTGTGGCTTGCTGCATATTTGCCATCTTCTAACAAGACCCATACTCCACGCTCGTTACCTTTAACAAAGTCAAATGCTTTTCAACTCACATTAAAAAATTACATTGAATTAAGTTCATGAATTCTAACTTCATTTCATTTTTAGGGCTTATATATATACAGTCTCTGAAAGTGTGATTTCCTGAGACTATATTCAAATACAATATGTCATGGTATGAGATCCACAATAATGATACAAACAGTCCAATATAATTGTACATTTTATTAATTACCAGTATTTTAATAATAATGATGAAATAATATTGGGTCCTCGGATCTACAAAGTTTTTAATTTAAAAGCTTAAGGTAATTCCACCTCCATGGTTACACATGTAGACATGTAGTTGAGCAGAATATTAAGAATATAAAAATGCTTTTTACCATTTACGCATGAATTTTCTGCACATCCTACAGCCAATAACGAAGCGTACTGAACTGGCAGACAAACTACTACAGAATAATGATCACATTGTAGTTTACTGGTTGCTGTTTCGTTGAACCAGGCCTCTGTGATCCCAAGAATTTGAATGTCGTACACCTTCCCTGTGCCCGGGCCAGTACACTACAAAGATTAATATACAGGTACAAATTAAGTCAACAATGTATGGTTTGTCAAAATCATAGTCAACAAAATTGCCCATCAGCTAGGAAGCATAACCAAAGTGCTTCGCGAATTAAAAGAGCATCATTGTTGATGATAAATATTCTGCAGATCAAATAACATGGGCATACGATGCAGATTTAATAAAATACAATAGATGTATCTAAGAGTTACTTTTAAAGAAAAAACATTAACATCATACAACTGATTTTCCTTCCCATGAAGGGTATTTCGTAAAGTTAAATTCTAGGTAAGGGTTTATTCTGCTTTTTTATAAGTGGATATACATATATTTAATTTATGAATTAAATTAATTTTCTTAAGAATAAAATCAACTGTTTGTGCAAATTAAAAATACTTTATGAAATAATATTTACTACAACTGAATATTTTGACCTTCACGGTAGCTCTGTCGGAAGAGCGCTCTCTCTGTGATCGGAAGGTCAAGTGTTCAAATCACAGCCGCGACTGACCTAAGTCGATGTAAACTAGGTAGCAACTGTTCCTTCGCCTAGCGCTCGGCACTTTGAAGTGAAAGTTGCGGGTCCTTCGGATGAGACCTTAAAAACCGATGCCCCGTGTCACGGCAGACGTTGGCACGATAAAGATCCTTCACTGCTCAATGGCAGAGTAAAGGTCAAAATTTGAACCCCTTCATCGGTATATGGTGATGTCTCTATATGAGTGAAAAATTCTCGAATGGGACGTAAAACAGCATATAATCAACAATAAATCAATCAATCGATGGCCTAAATCCAAACAAACAAAGAATTCCCGAAGGCTCACAATGCACATAATTTTCACATTACAGAATACACATAATGCAACAAAACACTAAAAATAACAAATTTCAAAACACAAACTATTAGCAGGTGGTTAATATTCATTACTGCATATCCTTGTGCAATAGCAAAAAAAAAAAAAAAAAAAATAAAAAATAAAAAAAATAAAAAGTAAAAAAAAAAAAAAAAAAAATAAAAACAGAAACTCTTAACACAAGAACAGAAAAACAAACACTAAAAATATTATACCAACCATTTTCTGTGAAACAATCCTATTAAAAAGTAATAATATTGATACTTTTAACATATTCTTTATATATATATATATATATATATATATATATATATATATATATATATATATATATATATATATATAAAGATTTAAAGACAGATACATTTAACGATGTACTTTTTAACAGTACATTATTACAAATTAGTTATGAAAAAAAATCATTCTTATATATAAAACATACCTTGATGTTCCCAGCTTCTTCTCTAAGTGCACAAATGTAAAGTATACATGTGCCTAAAAAAGAGAGAATCTGAAAGAAGGATGTCATTAAACTTCAAGATAGATAATCACGGGAAATTTTTATTTCAATTATTATAATGTCATACTAATGAAATGTATATGGAGATAACGACAGCATTCAAGCTCAAAAGTCCATTAAACAATACAAGTTTTGGAGCATACATGTAGCAAACAAGAATCTCCAAAACATCAGACTTGGGATTAGGTGCCATGGAGGAGTGAGCATCCCCTGCCGACCGGTCACACCCGCCGTGTGCTCCTTGTCATGATCGGGAAAAAAACCGATGACAATTCAATGTGTAAATAATGGCCTAATAATAAGTATGAAAAACGTCAGTCAGCATTTGACTTAATGATAAATTGTATTTACTGACAAGGTCAATGTATCGACCATAGTTTGTTGGAAGACCTGATCTCCCAGAACCACATACTAGATATTGTCAATCAGAAACTCAAGCATGCTTTCAACTTCAGAGTATTTGTGTGTACAATCAGAATGTTTTTAACAAAACAATTTTGCAAATGACCAATGACAAGGTAAGCAAAATTTACGAGTTCCATTTTTATTGAAAAAGCAGCTGTCAATAATATCAAAAAGTCTGGACTTTAATTTATTGTGAGGAATGGTTGTATTTAAAGTTGAAAAGACATTTTTTTTGTTGCTGTTGTTGTTGTTGTTGTTGATTTTGGTAAAATTTTGTTATCTCAAATTTTCCAAAAGTTCTTTGGAACTAAACGCTACATTTTTTGAATGGCAACAATTTTCTTTCAACTTCTGTGGAATATAATCTTGGCATTCTGAGTCGGTAATAAACCCCCCCCCCCCTTCCCATAAAAAGAGGCCCATGGGCCCTTAGTCATCTGGGCCTGTTTTTAGAACAGAACTTTTGTCCCTCGTGATAAAACAATTTGACCTTACTTAATTTTTTTTAAACCTATCCTTGAATTAACCCAACTGGAATTTCTCAATTTGGTATTCTTAATAAGCCTAACAAAGCCTCATTGTTATGGAGAATAAGATAACAATTTTTTTCCTATACACATGAATTGCGCTTTCATATCAATGCGACTAAACATGACCCTGTTGCTCTTGAAAAGAAGATTCTTCATATCTTCTCATATAAATCTTTTATTGTGACCCAACTATACTCCCAGAGTCTCTTTAGTTCAAACAAAATCTAAACTATGTCATGAATCTTCTACACGTGTTTAATTTTTTTCTGGCTCGGTTTTTCATGAGAAGAGTGTTTCACTAATTCCTATTTATCTCAAATTTCAGAACGACGTTGCTTTTATTTCGACAAGTTTGAATTTACTTTATCAAAGGATACTTTGTGGCAAGTTTGGTTGAAACTGGTCTAGTGGAGAAATAACAATTGTAAAAACAAAAAATACAGACGAATGAAAAAACAAACTCTGGACAAAATGTTATCAAAAAAGCCCAGTCGAGCTTTTAGCTCAGGCGAGCTGAAACAGGTCCAAAAAATATTACAATTCATATAAAGGAAATAAAATTAGAGGAAATGTGAGCACTGAGCTACCAAAATGATACCACCTGTTCCATATAAGTATAGCGGCAAAGTGCATTTCTTGGCAGTAGGTAAATGAGATTCTGTGAAAGTTCCTTTGAAATTTATTCAGAGGTTGAGGAGGAGAGGGTTTACAAAATGGGTATACCCTTTATTGGGAATAGTCGATATTTTGCTATTAGAAAGTTAGAAACCTAAATATCTGTGCGATCAAATCATAAAATAGAAGATGCAACATTGCACTATGTAATAAAGATTTTGTGAAAAATTAACTAAAAAGGGTATTCAGCTGACAATTGATTGATTGATTAAGCCATCGGTAATAAAGATTTCAATATTTTATATGCATATTGCATTCAGTGGTGTAAGAGGAGTTGCAGATAAAAGATAGCTTATGCATAATACAAGTAAGTACGGACGGACACCTTATCACTGTATATCCCTCTCGCTACTTTTTCAAGAGGTGGTGTAAAAACCAAACGCTCTTGCATAAAAAAGTAAAAATTAAACATTTTACAAAAATTATTCAAAAAAACTTAATAAAACCGCTTTTTCGGTTTAAGACTTTCATTACTAAGTTATATTTTACTTGTCATTTTCAAGTAAAATGCATAGGTATAATATTCAAGCGGTGCTTATTTGGACCTAAACCCTGCTTGGAATTTCATAAATCACTTATATTTCACAGGTATTTTCCTTGTAACGTGATTTGGCAGTCAAATAATCATAACACGCCCAATTATGACTTTCATTTTACGTCACAAACGTCGAATGCCGAGCAAATGCAACAACATGAGTTGGTCATTTGGTCAAGATATGCATCTGGTCACAAACAACATTTGCTATATCAAGTAAGAACTAAAGCTAACAAGGTTTCGACATTTTGCTTAGACAAATAATATTTACTCTTCTTATTCGTGAAAAACATATTCTTAACAAAAAAACTCTTATTAAGATCGTAACTTTTTGAAGTTATGGCAAATTAATCTGAAATAATTCTTTGTTGCTAATTTTAAAATTGTATGAATAAATTGAACATATAGGTATATAATTTGTAGAAAAAATGCTCACCAATCAATATTCCAGGCATTTTCTTTGTGGACATAATAAAAAAGCTAAGAAGGATAACCTGCAAAAGAGACATCAAATTTAATATTTCGACAATAAACCAGAGCTTGACACACAAAGTATTTTTAGCCATTTCTAGGGAGCCTGATTTATATTTAAATTGAGAGAATATTGTTCAATTTTAGAAAATGATATTAACTAAAATATTCTTCTTCTTATTATTTCATTCTTATTTCCCGATCATGACAAGGAGCATACGGCGGGTGTGACCGGTCGGCAGGGGATGCTCACTCCTCCATGGCACCTGATCCCACCTCTGATGTCCTAGAGGTCCGTGTTTACTCCTATTTTATTATGTTTAATGGACTTTTGAGCTCGAATAATGTTCGTTATCTCCACATATTTCATTCTACAGTTTATTAAAGTAAATCTGTAAAAAAAAAAAAATAACTTTGACCTTGTAGGATATGTAATTAACTATAAGTTTTCTTCTTTGAAATGTAAGTAGGTTTGAGACAGTCAACAAAGTAATACTCAAGGTACATTTTATAATACCTCTGAAATGCAAATGCATATCAAATAAAACTTTTGTAATGGTTTTCTGGAAATATGTTTGGAAAAAAAGATACCTCGAAAAATGATAATAAAATATAGAGAGTTTGATTAAATATTTACACTTTATTTAAACACTTTGAAATTCACAATATTAAATTAAGTGCCTATCTAACGAAATGTCCAGTAGATAAAAAATTTGGCCATCTTAAGGTAAAGGGTTCAATGCGTATTATAATCACACGAGTGGTATAATGTTAATGTTCAGAGAATAACGATCTCTTTTGAAGATTTTATTAAATTTGATTACTTTGGTATCATCTTTTTGCCTTTCAAAGGTCAGATTTATAAATGAAATAACGATACTTTGACTACCAATTTTAGCCCCTTAAGGTATAAAACTATACAAATAATCATTTCTGTTCTATGTTATCCATACATGCTACATACAAAAAGATTAATAGGTTTAATCATGAAGAAGCTAAAAAAATTTAATGTTTAGAACCCACAATGATACAGGATGAAACAGAGAACAATATGTCATATGCGTGACTCGTGGTATATGTCATAAGCCCTTCGAGTCTTCCAATCCTTTTAAACTGGATGTTATTGTGACATAATTTATATTTAAGAAGAGTAACTCTTACACTTGTACCATTTATAAATGTTATACTAGAGTTGTCTTCCATTGTCATTCATGATGATGCTGCACATGTTTGTAATAAACTAGTTCTCATCGCCATCTTGATTCTGAATAATGCTACATGGTGTCAGAAGAAGAAAATCTTAGAAATGGATCGCTAACCGCCGCCACCCGGACTAAACCTTACTGGAAACTTAGCAGAGAATTGGAGAAGATTCGAACAGCAGTATGACCGCAGGGGTAATAAGGAAGCATACAAAATATTCTACCTTGACTTAATCAGTGCTACATTATGACGTCATAGTAGGCGAGATGACGTCAATTTTAGAATACAAGTTTTCGTAATATTCGTATTTAGAGATGTAATTTAACTCTAGAAAATGAATAGAAACGTGTAAACATTAACAAAAATAAAATTTTTCTATTTTGTTATGCTGTATCTGTCATTTTGATTAAAATCTACCACCGATGACGTCATATGTGTACTTCAAGTAACTTGTGAATTGATCATGTTGTGTAAAGAGAATTTGGCTATGACGGCATGTGCAAAGATATGTAAAATGGAGGTTAAAAGCAAATATCCTGAATATTTTGTGAAATTCATATGGAGTTCAGTTACTAAAACAGGTATGCTAATTTATTTTCATCGATTGTATTCTCTTCGAAGACAGTCAGCTATATACGTATCCCGGTCGGCCTTTCCTCTGTCATTTGTGACAAAAATAATGCAGCAGAACAACAATAAGCTGTATATTTCAAAACATAAGATTTGTACAGATGAAAAGTTTGCCTCCTAAAATACTTGGAAAGTGCTGCTAGAATCCCGAGTTAAGCATGGTTTTACGAAAAATCTCGGTTTATAGTTACAAAATTCAAAACATCGGGTAAGGTTTCGTGCGAATGTGTGGAATTATTATTTTACTGACGGGACAGTGAGATTCTAGCAGCACTTTTTAGGCAAAATAGATGTTTTCCAACTATATTATTTACTCAAAGAAATTATTACACTTCGGGGTATTGTTGTTCTGTTAGCTTTTTTACTAAGGAAAATTTCGCTATTAATAGAAGTCACGTGATGCCGTGGTGGTGGTGCACGTCTTTGCGTTAGACACTCTTTTATCTTTATGCAATAGATAATAATAGTTTACATTTTTCAGCGGTTTTGGTAAATTATCAAACTTAATTTTCTTTAAAAAGTCTAAATTTCCAGAGAATTGACTTATATGCTTCCTTAACATACCCGCGATGTTTATGCTGTAGCGGAGTTGTAAGTAAGGGAGATAAAGTTCAGGGGATAACCCTACGCCACGTGTTAGGACCGGACGCCATTGATGTTTATAACACTTTTTCGTGTACGGAAAACGAAGATAAGACTAAAGTGGCAGATATCAAGAAGGAATTCAAGGAGTACTGCAATCTTAGAAAGAATGTAACATATGAGAGACACAGTTTTAACACGAGAAAAAAGAGGAAGGAGAACCTGTCGACGCTTTTGTGACTGAACTCAAACAAAAGGCAAGTTTATGTGAATTTAGTGAACTAAAGATTCCCTCATTAGAGATCGAGTCGTGTGTGGAGTTCGAAGTGACACTGTGCGTGCTAGATTGTTACGAGAGCGAGAACTCACACTGCAGAGTGCCATAGACATTTGTAGGGCAGCGGAAGTGTCTGAATCGCAGCTCCGAGAAATGGGAGACGAGAAAAACGTTCATGCAGTCAGAGACAAGAAGCAGCGGTACAAGCAGAAGGATGCACAGCCCCAGCATAAAGGTCAATGTAAGTACTCTGGATTGAATCATCCTAAAGGACCAGATCATTGTCCAGCATATGGCAAATCATGTAACAAGTGTCATCAGAAAAACCATTATGCAGTCATGTGCAAATCTAAGATGCGGCCTATGCCACATCCTACTAAAACAAAACCCGAGGAATCGCAAAGTGCATCAGATTGAAGAAAGCCGTGAAAACCCTGACGATGACTTTTTTATGTATTCAATTGACACATTTAAGGAGGATGATTGGACGGTGAAGCTACTGGTCAACGATGCACAACCTATCAACTTTAAAATTGATACTGGTGCCCAGTGCAACGTCATGAGTCTCAAAGCCTGCAAGTATGCCAACATCGACATTAAACAATTGATGCGTAGTAACAGTAAATTAGTTTCCTACTCTGGACATGCAGAGAAAGCCTGTAGAAAAGTCCGAACTTCAGTGAAACACAGGGACAAGTATTTTCTTCTGGAAATACAGATTGTCGATGAGGATGTCCAACCTGTTCTTTGACTCAAGTCCAGTATTGACTTGAATTTGGTGAATCGTGTGTATACAGTCAAGAAAAATCAAAGTACTAAAAGTGTAGAAGGACTGCTGAAAGAATATGATCATTTATTTACTGGAATAGGATGTCTACCTGGGAAATATGAAATCAAGATTGATCCCAGCATACCACCAGTAGTTGCGCCACCTCGAAGAATACCACACACTTTGAATGACAAAGTTTTAAAAGAACTACAAAGGATGGAATCTTTGAAAATAATCTCTAAAGTGGAAACCCCAACTCACTGGGTCAGCCCCATTGTAGTAGTTAAGAAACCGAGAGGGAAAGTTAGGATTTGTTTGGATCCACGAGAACTAAATAAGGCTATTTTAAGGGAACACTATCCACTTAAGACTGTCGAAGAAGTGGCTGCTAACCTTAAGCATGCAAAGCATTTCACAACTTTGGATGCAGCTTCTGGATTTTATCAAATCAATTGACCGAGGAGAGTTCGTGGCTCACCACCTTCAATACGCACTTTTGGAAGCTTCAAGTTCGAGATACTTCCGTTTGGAAATCTTCGGCTCCAGAAGTGTTTTAGAGGGCCATATCTCATGTATTTGAAAATCAGCCTTGTGAAGATATTGCAGATGACATTTTGATATGGGCAGATAGTGAACAGGAACACTGGGAAAAACGTAATCAAATACTGCAGAGAGCTGAGGATGTTGGAGTACGTTTCAACAAGGACAAGTGCAAAGTAAACAAATGAGAAGTTGAATATATTGGACATGTATTCAGTGCAGATGGCGTAAAGCCCAGTAGTGAAAAAAATCAAAGCAATTTTGGCAATCCCAGCGCCAGAAAACAAGAAGGAATTACAGCGATTCATGGGGATGATAAATTACTTAGGAAAGTTTATTCCAAATTTGTCCACCAGGAATCAACCACTCAGACAGTTGCTCGAAACCGATGTAGCATGGCACTGGAATGATGAGCAGGAAAAACCTTTACTGATCTGAAGAGTGCAATAACGTCAACGGCTACATTAAAATATTTCGACGTTAACGAGGATGTCAAACTCTCCGTTGATGCATCGTCATATGGACTAGGTGCTTGCATCATGCAGAAGGATCAACTTGTGGCTTATGCATCGAGAGCACTGAATGCAGCTGAGAGAAACTATGCACAAATAGAAAAAGAGATGCCTAGAATCGTGTACGGACTACAGAAATTCAATTAGTATGTGTATGGTAAAACAGGTTCAGTGGAAACAGACCACAAACCATTAGAGAGCTTGTTTAAAAACCATTGTCTAGTGCACCTCCACGACTTCAACGTATGATGTTGAAAGTTCAGCAGCATGATTTAGTTGTGAAATACAAAGCTGGTGAGGAACTCTACATTGCTGATACACTGTCAAGATCAACTAGATCAGATGCAGCTGATGAACATGAAGAACAGTTTGAAGTTCATGTGATAGAGACTATTCCAGTAAGTCAGGAAAAGGTGATGCTATTTCAGAGTGAAACCAAAAAAGACCCTGTTCTCGTGAAATTGAAGGACACAGTTCTACAAGGATGGCCAACAAACCGGAAGGATTTAGACAGTGAACTTACTCCATACTGGAATTTTAGGGATGAGATAAGCATTGTAAATGGTTTATTGTTAAAAGGAGATCGTATTATTACACCAGAGCAACTTAGTCCCCAGATGTTGAAAATTCTGCACAGCAGTCACCTGGGACAAGAGAAATGTATTCAGCGAGCTAAATCTACATTGTTTTGGCCAGGAATAATCATGCAGTTGAAAGACATGATAGAACAGTGCAACTTTTGCAACCGTTACAGGAAAGCGCAGCAAAAAGAGCCAATGATACCGCATGGGATCCCAAATCGTCCATGACAGAAAGTTGCAGCTGACATTATGTTTTTTGGAAATACACGATACTTGATAAATGTTGACTACTTTTCAAAGTTCAAAGAAATCAAACCGCTTACCAGATGGGAAAGCTACAACCGTTATCAACATTCTGAAGCAACATTTTGCTCGACTAGGAATCCCTGAAGAGTTCATTAGTGACAATGGGCCTGAATTCGCAAACCATGAATTTAAAAACTTTGCGAAGGAATATGATTTCCGACATATAACATCTTCGCCAAGATATCTACAGAGTAATTGTATGGCTGAAAGAGCTGTTCAGGCCATCAAAAACCTGTTTAGGAAGGCGCAGGATGACCACAAGGATCCTTATATTGCGCTTATGGAGTTGAGAAATTCAGAAATACCAGGAGTAAAGTTTTCACCAGCACAACTTTTATTTGGACGAACCACCAGAACTCTTGTACCAACCGTTAAATCCAACTTGCGACCAATAAGATTTAACTCGGAATGTGTTCGCGAGGAACTCCAGAGCATTAAAGATACACAAAAGTCTTATTATGATCGCAACTCAAAACCCCTTAAACCACTTGACAACGGAGATGTAGTACGTGTTAGGATTCCAGGACAGTTCATTAAAACACCAGGAAAAGTCGTTAGACCTGCAGAAACGCCACGATCGTATTACATACAGCAAGGGAATGCCACCGTGAGGAGAAACCGCCGAGATCTTATCAAAACCAAGGAACTGAGTACAGAACAATCAGTAGAAACTGAAGAGACTGTTAACTGTCACCGTGATTGGTTTCTTGATAATTCTTACAGTGCTAATGGTTCATTTATCAATTCTGGAGACGAACCAACTGGTGTTACCACAGCAAGTGGTCGCGTCATTAAACCACCTG